TATCAGAGCCTTGGTTTGAGGGATTCGGGTACACTCTTGGGTGTATCTGAACTCAACCTAAGGAATTGGTATAGAAAAATTTTCTAAATATATCTTTTTTTTTTGTAAATAAAAGAATTTAGAAAAACGAAAACAACTTTGAATAAGAGAAAAAGGTTGTGGTGCATGCAATCAACCGAGCTCAAATAAGTATCCCAAACTATCCATACAAGTTATTTTGATATGATATGATTATGTGATTAGCATGCTAGACTAGGGCTAAGGACCTAGGAATTGATGCCTTGTATGCTTGCTTTATGTGTATGAGAAATGTATGCTATATTAGGGCTAAGGATCTAAGAATGATGCCTTATATGTCTGTTATATGTGTTTGTTGAGTTGTATGCTAAGTACTTATTATTCGATGATATGATAGCATGATTATGTTATGCTTAGTTATGGTTACTCAATGCTCGAATGCTGCTTGCTTTGTGCTTTAAGGAGTTCTAGTTGTCCTTTGTTAACTAGTAAAACGAATACATTAAGTTACATATTGTGAGGTCTAAATAATTACAGAAGGTTAGGTCTAACTCTACTTCGCGGCTCTCGTTTGAGTCCAACCGTTGTAGGGTAAGATCTTTCATTCAAAGAATTATCTAGTTTGAGTAATATGTAACTGTATTCGCAAGCTAGTTAGGGAAGGGTAACAAGGACTTCTTGTGCAATTGATGACGGAGAGTAGGTTGGAGATTACCCTAGGGTAAACCTAGGATGAGAGTAGCACGTGAAGCATTAGTAGTAGAAGGCACTTGGTAAAGTCAAGACAGTTCTTAAGGAAAGTACGGACAGATGTGGAAGGTAGTATGTGCCTGTACTACTGAAAATAGAGGATTTGTACTTGAGTCAATGAAGGCTAAGATGAATCCAAGGAACTTGTTGTACATGAATGAACCCTCGAGATATGATTAGTATTCTGATGTTTATTATGATGTGTTTTTCAGAATTGTGGTTTTACGCACTAGACCAGTAGCCATATATTGTAAATGAATATGTAATACCCATTAGTAAAGGAAAATGTAACTATTCCAAAGAAAATTTTGAGTATATATTGTAAAATGACTCATAAACTATACCTATTATAGTTTATAATGTATGTTATATTGAAATGAAAAACCTTTGTATTATAACACTTTGCATGTAAAAATTTATAATTTTGGTAGTAACATTATTTAACCTTTTTACGTAATATGTATAAAATATAATAAAACATAATAAACGGTTTGTAATTTTAACATAAGTTTCCTTGTGTTTTACTTGTATCCCCCCCCCCCCAACATAGAAAAATCTTGAAAAATGTGGGGGTATGAACTCACCTTGAGCGTGATTGCGGTTAGAATCTAACTAGAAACGGTCAACAATTCGTGATCGTCGGGCTCGGGAAGCAGAACGCCTTCAACAAACGAGGGGGAGAGAGAGAGAGAAGAATTTGATGGAAGAAGTGAAATGGTCGAGCTTGTTATTTATAGGTTGATTTTGGTCTCTCACATCGTGAGCCTCACATGCTCATGTCGTGAGCTTCCATGTGTCATCCCATAGCCTTCCCAGATGTTTTCTAGCATCGATTAGTGTCTGTTTGACTCCTCACGTCGTGAGCCTTAAAAGTAGACTTGTCATCTGCATTTTAGGCTTGAAAAGTGGCGTTTTGACTCCTCACGTCGTGAGAAATCATGCTCAAATCGTGAGTCCACCCAGTTTAGGGTTTATGACACGTGTCATGCTCTCAGACAACTGTAACTTCGACATGTCATAACTTATTCATTATAACTCGGATTTCAACATTCTTTATATCTCCGAAATCCTTGTACCGATCACTAAAATTTTCTTCATAGATATTGGGTCTATCTATTATTTTATTTTTGACGCTTATTTTTATTCTTAACTTATTATATCTTATAAATAAGTAAAATGCACATAATATTCAAATAATTTATCTTTATTACTTCAAAGTAGGTTATAATTGTTGACCCTAACTATTACACTATTATACTAATGCTTGGCCTAGAAACACGAGCGTTACAAGTGATTTCAGTCTTGTGGTTTGATCTTAGAAAGGAGATTTCGGTCACACTCAACCGGAATCTCAAAGGCATGGTACAAGTATGCTTTTATGTAGTAACCATTTGATTTTTGTTTGACGTAGTCAACTTACTTTGACTGGAAATAACTGGTTGTTACACATTAAGCACTTAATCCATAAGGACATGGCCCCAAAACATAGATCCGACTTAATTGAGCTGGAAAACAACATAAAGTTGCCAACTTTACGTTCATGCATGTCTAAATGAACCTCTTAAAGCTTAAAATGGACTTAATAATTGACTTAATGGATGCATGACACCAAAATCTTCATAAAGTTTGCACCTTTAAGCTCAAGGCTACCAAAACTAACTCATATCTGAAAGAATAAACCCCTAAAATGACTTCACTCCATTATCATCCCCCCAAAGAGGCCAAAACACAACAAAACCCAAAATGAGGATATTTAGTCATCTACAAATCAAGGTATGAACTTGATACCTTAAAGTAACTGCAATAAATGGATGGATTCTGGATCCAATACTTCATTCTCTAAGCTAGAAACTTCAATATCGTCTAACTCCTTCACAATGCACAAAATGGACACCAAACTTCCTTCCAAGGCTCAAAATCTTGACAATGGAGGCTACAACTCGTTTTAGGGTTTTGATAAAATTGGAGGCTAATAAGGAGGCCAAAAAAGGACTTAAGGCCTTTAAATAGGGTGCAAGACCCTAAAAATTAGGGTTTCCTTCCCAGCTGCCAACTCGCCGAGTTGAAGCACCTCAACTTGCCGAGTTGGATCATTAACTTCCGCGACCAACACCCTCTCGACACGACGAGTTGGAGCTTACAACTCGTCGAGTCCCAAAGGAAGATACAACCAATTTTCGAAGAACAATCTCATACTTGAACCAATCATTACACATACATTAGTAGATAATCAAACAACAAATGCAACCACCAAAATGCTTTAGAATGGAGATTTTATATAGATTAAAACTTGTTGTTATCAGATAGTATAGGATTATAACGACTACATTTGAAGGTGAAGAAGAGTTACGAGATAAAAGGGCATACATAACTGCATTAACGGCTTGAAATAATCCACTACCAAATACCACATATCGTCCTTTAGTTTTTTCATTCCCCACAAGGGAATGTAATTTATGGATGTATTTTTCCACCTCCGATGACATCATAGTGTAGTGATTATTATTTTATTATTTTATTTTTTTTGTGTGTGTGGGTGTGGGTGGGTGGGTGGGGGGGGGGGGGGGGGGAGATAAAGCCAATAGAGAGGTGGAGGTTTCATCAAGGAGTGTAAAATGTTTGACGAGATTGGGTCGTTGGTGGTAGGCGGTAGAGTTTTTGAGTTTGGTTGCTATAGAGAAAAAAGAGGTGATAAGAAAGAAAAAAAAATATGGGAGAAGAAGGGGTGGGTTGATGTGTTTTTTTTTTATCATATTATTGAAAATTATAAATTAGTAAACTAACAAAATGATAAATTTGAAGACCATTAGTAATGTAATTTTTTAAAATATAGAGATGTGTTTTGTCAAACTTTTAAAAGTTTACACAAAAAATAAGATTTTAACCAAACTTTTGAAAACAATATTTTAAATAAATAAATAAACAAAAAATTATAAAGGATAATGACTCAAAAGAGTAATATATTATTTGATTTTTACACATTTGGTCACTGAGTTTATTTTTTGTCCACATCTACTCATTTAAGTTGTTAAACTATATACATTCAGTCATTATGACCGACTATTCCATGTTAGCTGATAAAAATGTCTTAATAGGGTAATATATTTATCATTTTGTACACATTTAGTCATTAATATTTGTGTATACATTTAGTCCTTAATTTTTTTTGTTGCAAAATAATTTATTTTTGTTTTTGTACTCATTCAATACTTATGAATAATTTCTTTAGGTTTTTCTCACATCTTATGTGGAACAATCATTACCGAGGTGTTTTTGACTTTTGATGCTTATGTCCATCGCGATCTCGACTACTTGGTTGCTTAGGTCATGTGTTTTGGATGTTATAACTTTTTCATACTATCTCGGATTTATATCTATGCGTTTGTATTTTAGTATATTACAACTTTCATTTATATTGTTTATGTTAAAAAGTAATATATTTTTCACTTACAATATTTATATTCATATGTTTATGAATGCATGTATGAATGTTTTTTTACAAAATCGTAAGTAAAAGCATATTATATTTTAAGGGGAGTAATCTTAACGAAAATTATAACAGACTTAAAAAACGAACACGTGGATATAAAGATCGTTAAAATCAGATATCATATGAAGAAGTTACGACGTTCGGAACACAAAACCTAAGCCAAACCACAAGACCTGTGCAACCATACAGTCGAGAACGCGATTAACATAAACATCAACAACCCCAAACACCTCATCAATGATAGTCCAACGTTAGATGTGGTGAGAAAAACCCTAAATAAATCATTCATAAGTATTGAATGTGTACAAAAAAAAACTTATTTTGAAACAAATAAAAATATTAATTACTAAATGTGTACAAAAATATTAATGATTAAATATATACAAAATGATAAATATATTTATCTAATATGTCATTTTTCCCGGCTAACTGATTATAAAGACTAGATGTGTACAATTTAATAAGTTGAAAGGGTAAATGTAAACAAAAAAAACTCAGTGAACAAATATGTAAAATTTAAAAATATATTACCCTTTTAACTCATTATCCCATTTAAAAAATACAAAAAATTATTTTTATAAATGTACTATAGTGGATTTACGTTGGTGATGGACTACAAAGCATATCCAAATTAAACATAAATATTATACCAAATTTACAAATTAACTCAAACTACAGGGACCATTTGTGTTATATTTTTGTAATAAAATTTCATTATACAATCCAAAAAGCGTGCCTTTCGATACTTTTCTGTCAGAGCCCAGAAAGCCCAATCAACGACGGTGAAGCTCTCTTTCCCGCCAATTTTTTCCTAATCGCAGAGAAAATTCAGGAGAAAAAGAAAGCAACAACGACAACCGCTTGTTGTTGTTGATGACGATGCGAATTGAAATCCGTTCTGAATTCTGCGTGACTCGTATAATCAGTAGTTAACATATTGTAGTTCGCGATTAAACCCTAAAGATGGCCGACGCTAGGGTTTCCAATGGACCTGCCGGGGCTTTGCAAGCAGGCATCATCACCAAAATCCGATTAGAGAACTTCATGTGCCATACTCATATGGAAATTGATATTGGCGACCGTGTTAATTTCATCACCGGACAAAACGGAAGTCAGTCTATCTTTGTCTCTGTTACTCTTTCAATATCATCTGCTCTCTGTTAATCTTTTTTCACATTTGAGTGGTCTTTTTTGTCTTATAGGTGGAAAGAGTGCGATACTTACGGCGTTGTGTATTGCTTTTGGATGTCGAGCAAAAAGTACAGACAGGGCAACGACATTGAAGGAGTTTATAAAGACTGGTTGCAGGTTTGTAGTCATTGGTGTAGATGGTGAAAGTTTGATTCTCAATTATGTGATATCTTTAGTTTGTTTCAGAAATCCAGATATTGTAAGCTTTGTGAAAGCTAATTTTGTCCTCTCTATCGTCTATCTTTGCTTTTCTGCTGTTGCATATCATATATCATATGGATCTAAACCTTGGACATGGGGCTAGTTTTCTTTATTCACACGATCTATGTTTTGATACTATATACTTGTTTCCAGCTACGCCCTTGTTCATTTGGAAATAAAAAATCAGGGAGAGGATGCTTTTAAGCATGGCATTTATGGAGATGTTATAATATTAGAGCGCAGGATTACTGAATCAACCAGTACTAGCGTCCTTAAAGATCAGCAAGGTTTTTGGTTTACTTTCTCCTTCCTCTCTAATCTCTATGATTTTGAATTTTATGTCCATCCTTAAAACTTCATATGCTGGATTGCTGGAAACAAAATCCACCTTTTGATCCTTATCTTTTACTCAACATGTTATATATAACAGGGAAAAAAGTAGCTACCCGAAAAGAAGACATCCGTGAGCTTGTGGAACATTTTAACGTGAGTATCTGCCTAAATGGCTAAATCTCACATGTTATCTTTATTATATATAACCATATTTTTAATCTTATGTACAACTCATATAAAGATCTACTAAGTCTCATACATGTTCTAAGCATCTTGCATTTCCATGTGCAGATTGATGTTGAAAATCCTTGTGTGGTGATGAGCCAGGACAAGAGCCGAGAGTTTTTGCATTCAGGGAATGACAAAGATAAATTCAAGGTCTTTTTTTCATTGACATGTATATAATATTTGGATGTAAAATCTTTATAGGGTTCTTTTTTTTGACATTTTGTTTTTCAGTTCTTTTTCAAGGCTACACTTTTAAGTCAAGTGGATGATCTACTGAAAAGTGTCAAAGACAATCTTGACAAGGCAAATAGTGAGGTTGTTGAGTTGGAAAGGTCAATAGCACCTATAGAAAAGGAATTGAATGAGTTACAAGGAAAGATTAAAAGCATGGAACATATTGAAGAAATTTCACAGAAGGTTCAGTTGTTGACCAAAAAATGTGCATGGTCACTGGTATACGACATAGATAAACAAATCCAAGAAGAAACTGCAAGGATTAAAAAATTTGAAGAGAGAATACCTCAATGTCAAGCTCGAATTGATCAACAAATTGTAAGTAAGAAGAGAGTTCAAATACTTTCTTTATGAATTTTGATTTGTGGGTACTTCTTAAGAACTTATATTGATGTATTTGGTAGGCAAAAGTAGCAGACTTGCAGGATTGTTTAGACAAAAAGAAAGCTCAAAGTGCAGTTATGATGGAAAGTACTTCAAAAGCTAGGAAAAGGAAGAGTGAATTGGAGCAGAAATTATCTTTGGTATGTTTAAAAAACTGACATTAAGTCTTGTATAGATAAAGTGGCTCTGAGTAAAGTGTTGTATACATAAAACTTTTTGTACTAAATGAACTGTCTGAATCTGAGGAAATGACTATTTATCCTTAAGAAATGAAGGTAAATAGCAAATGACTATCTATTCAAAAGCTGTTATAAATCAATGTTTATTTTCTAAAAAATTGAGTTTTCATACTAATAAAAATATCAATTACAAGGCTACCAAGGAGAGGATTGAGTTAGAGCAAGAATATGGCAGAAGAAGGAACAATGTTGCTAAAATGGCTAAACGGATCAAGTTACTTGAGCAACAAATCAATGATGTCAGTGAACAACATATGAAAGACACACAGGTTTTTATTTCTATATCATCTTCACTTGTATAAATATTTAGCAATTCACAATGAACATGGGTATGTAATATCATATCTGGATTTTGTAGGCTGAAGAACATGAGATGGAGAACAAATTGAAGGAGCTTCAAGAAGAGATCAATGTTGCTGAGTCAGATTGCCTAAGGTTTTGTTTGTTTCATGGTTCTTGTGTAACATAGGAGTATATTTAATAAATAATAATTATAATAATTTCATTATGCTTTGTTAATTTTATCAACTTTCAGATTGAAGAATATTGAGGATGATTTATCAGAAAGATTAGCGATTGCAAGAGATGAGCTTAAAGAGATCACTTCTGAGGTATGGAATTGCTTTCATGTATTTCTTTACCAAATTATTTATTTATTTTTTTTCTCTTTCAGATTGATGAGTATGAAAAGAAGATAAGTGATAGTCAACGCCGAATTCGTGACCTACGCCTGAATCAGACAAACAAGGTCTTGTAATTTCTTAATTTAACTAAAAACAACAATTCACATATCTTCATGTTTTATTAAAAATTGTAGCTTTTGATTGTATATATCTTTTTCAACAGGTGACAGCTTTTGGAGGATACAAAGTTACCAGTCTTTTAAAAGTTATTGAGAGGAATCACCATAAGTTCAAAAAGCCTCCCATTGGTCCTTTAGGAGCACATGTGGTCAGTACTAAATTAATAAATAACTAACTAATTAATTATCATCTCTATTGTTCTTATATATTTATATGATGATTTGATTTATAATCACAGGTGTTACTCCATGGTGACAAATGGGCTGTTGCTGTTGAAAATGCTGTTGGAAAATTACTGAATGCTTTCATAGTAACAGATCATAAAGATTCTCTTTTATTAAGATCATGTGCTAGAGAAGCAAACTACCACCACCTTCAAATCATTATATATGATTTTTCTATACCAAGGTATGTATGTTATGTTTCTTTATTAATTTAGGGAACATAAGTTATATGATTATAACAAGATCTGAAAATTAAACTTTGAATGTAGATTACAAATTCCAAATCACATGCTTCCTCAAACAAATCATCCAACTGCTATTTCAGTAATGCAATCCGATAGTCCAACAGTAGTCAATGTGTTGGTGGATGTGGTAAATAATAATGACTTTCACATTTTCTTATTTTTGATTTTTTGAAAAAAAGAAAATAAAATAAATGTTGGTGTGTTTATGTAGGGTGGGGCTGAGAGACAAGTGCTTGTAAGAGACTATGATATGGGAAAAACGATTGCTTTTGATCAAAGGATTCCAAATTTGAAGGAGGTTTATACGTTAGAGGGTCATAGGATGTAAGATTAATATAATTTAAAATTTCTTTTTTTTTTTATTTAGTTAATACAGAATAGTGAAAGTGAAGAGATATTGGGTTTTTTTGTTTGTTTCTAGGTTTTCTCGTGGTTCAGCACAGACGACTTTACCCCCGAATAAGAATGCAAGGAGTGGGCGTCTTTGTAGTTCATATGATGATCAAATTAAAATTTATGAAAGAGAAGCAATCCACATGCAAGAAGAAGCTAAACAAATTCGGGGAAAGAAAAGGACTTTTGAAGAACGTGTTAAGAATCTTCAAGATGAATTTCAAAATGCAAAAGTAAGATGCTTTTTAGGGTAAATTACATTTTTGTCCAAGTTGTTTTCGTGCTAATTTTGTCCTTATTATGAAGTAAGTTTCCTAACAATTTTTATATAACAAGATATGTTAGTAATATATAAGTAAGAATAATATATGTTAGAAAAGCAAGATATATTTATATATGTTGTAGCACATAATTCATTTGACATTATGCATTAAAAATAGGAAAAGTTAAAAAAATCATATGCACATATAAAATCGAAATGTTATAGACCTCAGTTACAGATCTGGTTCATGTGGCGTACTGTTTCTTTTCATAAGTTTGGTCCAAGGGCAAAATGGTCATTCTAAATTTTGTTACAGCTAGGCTAAGACACAGGGACAAAAGTCGTTAGGAAATTTCATAATAAAGACCAATTTTGCAAAAGAACTTTTTTGGGACCAAAATTGCAAAGATAAGCTATACTAAGGGACCAAACATGTTAATATTAGTACTTATGTTTTTTAATCTTTATTTAGAGACAACGGATGAATTCAGAGAAGTGTGTAATGAGCAAGAATCTTGGACTAAAAGATTTGAAGAATTCACTTGCTGCAGAAGCAGAAGCAGCAGCTTCATCCGTATCTAATGTTGATGAGCTCCATCAAGAAGTTTCGGTTTGTTTTCTAAATTAAATTTCCCATTTTACCCCTGTAAAACATTCGTATTCTCAAATCAAATGTCTTAAATTAATTAAACTAATTTCCAGAGATTAGAAAGCGATAAAAACCAATTTGAGATGTCACTTGAGAAGATTCAGGAGAGATTGCAGGAAGCCGAAGCCAAAGCAAATGAACTCAAAGTATCATTCGAAGAGCTTTGTGGTATGCTATTTTTTATTTTTATAACAATTATATAAGAATTACATTTTTATCCTTTTTTCTATCTATACAGAGTCGGCAAAAGCTGACATCAGCGCTCTGGACAAAGCAACGGGTGAGTTGACTCAGATTGAGGAGGATTTACGTGCTGCTGAAGCGGTAATTCACTTTTCTGATGTGATATTATTGCCCTGATTTATGTATATATATATATATATATATATATATATATATATATCATTAATTGTGCTAAATATATTTTGTATAGGAACAACGTCATTATGAAGGGCTTATGCAGCAGAAGGTCCATAAAGGAATTGAAACTGCAAAACAAAATTATAAGGCTTTGGAAAGGGAGCGAAAGGTGTGTAGTTACTTTTATAAGATATATGAAAACCAATCATGTTAAAAATAAAAATACAGGTGAGTTATGAGAAAGCTTCAATCATATGCCCTGAGAGTGAAATTGAGAGTTTAGGAGGATGTGATGACACAAGTTCTGATCAACTCCAAGCCCATCTCACAAGGCTTAAACAGAGACTCCAACAGGAAACCCAAAGACATCAGGAATCCATTGATGAGCTTCGAATGCTGCATGATAAAAAACAAAGAAAGATTATCAAACAGCAGAAAACTTACAAAGCTTTTAGAGACAAACTTTCTGTAAGCAACCCTTTTCTCCCTTTCAGTTCAATTCTTTTTGATTTTATATATAATATGAAATTATTTCATTATTCAGGCAATTCATACAGCTCTTGACAAACGATGGAGCAAGTTTCAGAGGAATGCCACTCTTTTAAAGAGACAGCTGACGTGGCAGTATGTTCTTCCTCCTTTTATCTGTTCAAATTTCTCACTTCTCATATTAATATCTGTGGTTTAGATTTAATGGGCATCTGAGAAAGAAGGGGATCAGTGGGCTCATTAAAGTTAGTTATGAGGAGCAGAAGCTTTCAATAGAGGCAAGTAACTTCACAATTGAAGCTAGCTGATTTTTTGCAATTTTGGTCCCTTATTTGAGGATTTTGTAACCATTTTCTTCTATGCTACCCTTTATCTATTTTTTTATTTTTTTAAATAAAAGTTTGAACGTAGTCTACATAGTTATTGTATTACTTTGAGAAGAAGGGGGTAGTGGGCCCAAAGTAATTCAAACTTATTATAAATAACAAATCTTTATTAAAAAATGAGTTTACATGGGAACATTTTAGGACCAATATTGCAAAATCCACTTAATACTTGAGGACCAAAATAGTAAATATACCTTATAGCCCTAATTTGGTTGGTTATTACTTATATTATTATTTAGGTTAAGATGCCCCAAGATGCAACCAGCAGCAATGTTCGCGACACTAGAGGGCTTTCAGGTTTCCTTTTATCAATTTTTATAACTACATTCGGATAACTTCAGGCATTTTTTTTTTTTTAATAAAATGTTGATATGTGTTTATAATAACAGGAGGAGAGCGATCGTTCTCAACACTATGTTTTGCACTTGCACTTCATGAGATGACAGAAGCTCCGTTTCGAGCTATGGATGAGTTTGATGTCTTTATGGTAAAATTACTTCTTTTTAACCAAATTAATTTAAAAAAAAAAACAAAATGAGTGGGGTATGGTTTTAAGTTTTTACTTTTAATAATTTTTATATTGATATTGCAGGATGCTGTGAGTAGGAAAATAAGCTTGGACACCATTGTGGATTTTGCTTTGGCGCAAGGATCACAGTGGATATTTATTACACCTCATGATATAAGGTAAGATCATTTCTTTATTTACTTACAAAATAAATGTTTTTAACAATTTAGGAAAAAATAAAGAATAGTATTGTCACATTTTATGTATAGAGTTTACTTGAGATGTATATATTTTAAATGCAGCATGGTAAAACATGATGAGAGGATAAAGAAGCAACAAATGGCAGCACCTCGCTCATAAACAAAGCTTTGCTTTTGTTAATGCATTATTCATTATTGTAAACATCACTCACTAACATCACATCTATCTATTCTATCTTGCTTCAAGTTTTTATAACTGAATCTTGGGTTTCTGTATGATATTGTGTTTTTTTTTCTCCAGTGTATGAATGTAGATATTGGCTCTAGTTAATTTTTGCACTGTTATTATGGGTTAGTATAAAATGTAACACGATCCCTATCTATGTTACATAGAGTTTATTCTGCTTGTGAATTGTTTTGCTTACTTGATACTAGGCATCTCATATAACACTGAACATTTAAAAAGTAGTTGATATAAAACTGATTCTTTGACACAAGACACTGTTTTTCATTTTTTTTTCTTTTGACAAAAAAAAAAAATAATAATTTGAATATGTATTTTCCAATTTTATTCAATGTTTGACCTTTTCATTTCCATTTAACAACGTGATAAAACTGATACTATGTTAAAGAAAGTATTTGACTTGGTCAACTTGTATTCCTAGTCTCCTAGGTATAGTTGACGTGTATTCAAGGATTAAGGATCGTTTGCTAATTGCTGATTGGGTTAGAAATATTTACTGAGTCCACATCTGATTGAATTTATATTGTTTGATTATTTTTCTGACCAATCCTGGTAAGTACAAGTCAAATTGTCCCCTTAGTTATTTAGCTAGTGATTTATTTCTACCTATATATATCCATGTACTTTGACATATCAAGCATAGAGGAAAATACAGAGCACTTCTATTTCTATACCAGTCAATGAGACAATTCACTAAATTTTCATTTTTTATTTAGACATGCATTTTCTAGTTTTTTGTTCTAAAGATTTTTTTTTAAACATAGTATTTTCCAACTAAACATGGCAAATTGGGTATCCTAAAAGGGTCTTGGTGAAGTTTTTCAAGTTGAATAAATTTTGAAAATACGATGTTCCATATAGAACAAAAATAATACAGTGCCATAGTGAAAAAATAATAACATAATGTACCATTTGACTTTTTTGATAATCTATTAGTTCAATATTAGTTCATTGTATGATTGAAGTTTGTCAAAAATTTGAACCACGTGAACATCTAATTATTGAAACTTCAAGTGACAAAAGCAAATCAAAACATTATCTCGGGTGACATGTTATATTAAAATTAATGCTCTGTTTGATGCGTATAAATTAGATTATAACAATTTATGGTTTGCTAAGGCCACAAAATAGTTTTTTGAAATTTATAAACTAGCTTATAAGCTAACATTTTGATAAACTATGTGAGACAGTTTATTGGTAAATTAGCTTATAAGTTAAAACTAAACCGTTTATTAAATTTGGTTCAACTACTTTATAATAATAACAAGTAAACAAAAAATCATTTTTCAATTGATCTAACATTTTTATTTTTTATAAATGTAACTTATTTATCAGTAAAATATTTATTTCAAATTTAGAGAAATTTATAACTTGACACTAACATTCAAATAAATAAAAACAATAAAAAAGAGATAAAGATATTGATATTGTAATGTTTTTGACATTCAATATTTGTCTAATTTTGATTGTTTTGAAATTTAATGATATACTTTTTTATATATTATATTCATTTTATTTTGTATATTTAACAAAGTAGATTAATTAGTTAAAAGTAATAAAACTATTATATGCAATATAATTATATAATTAAATATAGAGGCAAAATATACAAAATAAATAATTGCAACGACAATTTATAATTTTCTAAGAGTTGATCTAACATCTAAAAAACTAATATAATAGTAAAAGAAAGGATAATAACTTATCAGATACACATTTTTTTTTATATATTTAGTAACTTATTATGTTTTGTTTTGTTTTGGACAATGTTAGACTATATAAGTTTTATTATTTAATGTTATATAGTTAGTTTGAAAATTGTTAATAATACATATTTTTATATTTTATAGAATAAATACTTATAAATTCGAACAATAGAAATAGTCTACAACAGATATGAGATATATCAATCTAACTCAACTAGATTTTTTATAAAATGCTGCAATTTCTATTGAAATTACACAAAAAAAAAAAAAAAAAACTTTATTTGTATTATTACTGAAATTCGATAAAAGTTCTTGTTTATCCGGTCTGGTCTAAAGTCTAATATGAAATATTCTAGTTTAATCCAATCTGGATAAAATAAAATCCTATTTTTGTACGCCTTTGATCTAACTCCATCTACTTTCCTACCTTTAATTTTTTATAAAGATTTTCAAAGACATTATATATTCATTCACATTATTATCTCTAATTATCATGGCGCCTTGCATCAACTAAACATTCTTACTTTATTTATAACTAGTTGTGATATCCATGTATTAGATGAATTAATTTAAAAAAAAGTTAAATAATGAATTATTATAATGGAAATATTTTTTATCTTTTAAATTTAAACAAATAATTTAAATAAATACAAAAAACTAATGAGCTTTAATTTTGGAAATTTTGAAATTAGAAAGTGAATTTATTAATGAAATTAATATCTATTTATTACTACATTTATTATAATTATTACATTAAAATATTATATGAAAATTAATAAAATATAAAAACTCATAAAATGACGTATGTTGGGTCATATGGATTGCATTATTTAGTCCATGTTTTGTATAGCGAGTTAGGCCTGTCCACCCGGTTAATTTATTATTAGAATTTTACTATTTAAAGTGCATGCATGCACCATATCTTGTAATTTGTCGAAGTTGTAAATCCTATACGATCTTTATAGTAGCAGTTCTTCATCGAGCTCTTCTAAAGTTGTGCTTATTAATCATTCGGCACAACTTTGATCTTCATTCTGTTTTTTGATTCTTTTACCTGTTTGTATATAATCTATCATTCAAGTTTTATTCTTAACAATTGGTATGAGATATAACATCCCATTTATTAGATGATTAAATGGATAAAAATTTATAAGCGAATAGTAGCCCTAAAACCCATAATATTTAGCGGGTGTTGGTTTCGGGGAGCTAAATTATATAAATTGGGTTTTCGGGGGTTAAAGTGTAGTTTCGGGACTTATTTTGCAAAGATTTTCAGTAGTGAGGGGGTGTATGATATTATTTCAACTTACATTGAATAGATTCTTGGGGGCAGGGACTAAATGGTAAATTCTAGACCTAAATTGAAAAGGGTTTTTGTATAGGAAGGGCCGTTTGGTAATATTTGGATTAAATTTGAAAGAAAATGGAGAAGGAGGGGCCATTTCCATCATCATGGGCTGAAGTTGTATGAATCGGGTATACAAACTTGTCACCCTTCCAGAACCCTAACCCTAGGGGTATCTTCAGCCGCCACCTACACCATCCTTGTCCCTCCACTCCTCCAGTCACCGTATGGCCACCGTGAGCCCGGATACCGCTGTCGCCATGCTCCTTGCTGCAATGAACTGCCGAAACCTACCACCACTTGTTGTTGCCAACAATAGAATAAGAGCGCCAGATGGTGAGTGACCGATGTTGCCTCTACCTTCTTCGTTAATAGCGAACTCCTACACCTCCTTCGTTATTCGGTTGTTCCTTGCGTCCATCGCCATCGTCGCTCCAACGACTATCATATGCTGACATTATTCTCTCAGACCACCGCATATCACCATAAGAATGACTGCACTGTGCGTGTTTAAGAAGATATTACAGGCGTGTGTAGGTGAGATGTTGGCTGGAAAACGTAAGAAGACCACCATGGCAGCCAACCATGGTGGCTGTCGCTGGGAATGCTCTTCTGTCGCCGTAAGTGTTGTTGCTGCCGCCATGCTACCCTATTCTGCCGCCACTAGCCACCGTGAAAGATGGTTGTGGGCGTGTTGTGTTTGTGTTCGTGTGTTGTGATGATATCAGCTCCACCCGACACCTAAAGAATGACCGATCCTTAGATATAACTCAAAATATCTCAACACCCTCCCTTAGGGTCAAATTTGGTTAAAGACAAAAGTCAAGCTCAAGGTCTACAGTCTATGTTTCACACACCATGCTGACTTGACAACACGCCGTGTTTCGCCATCATCCAAGTAGTTGGGGAAAACCCCAGACAACACGCCATGTTGACTTGCAAACATGTCATGTTTTCCTGAGTTCCAACAACTTAACTCATAAAGATACCTTCTTCGACTCTAAGAGCTCCAAAGGCCAAATCTAGACCAAAACGAGGTTTAGAAGGGTAAAGTTTCCAACTTTACCCATAAGGACTACCAAAAGGGTCCAAAACCCAAACCCTAAGGCTTAATAGCACAAAGCTTAACCAATAAGCACTTAACTCTTAAAGACATAACCCCAAAACATAGATCTGACCTCCTTGAGCTGGAAAACAATGTAAAGTTACTTAATGCATGCATGTAACCAAAGTTTCTCATAAATTTTGCACCTTTATGCTCAAGGAGTCCAATATAACTCAGATCTGGAATAGCAAGCCCATAAAATGACTTCACTCACTCATCAATCCAAAAGGGGCCAAAAGTATAACAAAGCACAATATGAAGAGATCTAAGCATTTATAAGTCAAGGTTCAAACTTGATACCTTAGAAAGCTTGCACAAAAGAAGATGATTTTGGATCCAAAGCCTTTCCACCAAGTTGGACAACTTCAAGATCCCCTCTTTCTTCACAAGGACCAAACATGAGCACCAAAAGCTTCTCATTAGCTCAAGAACACCACCAAGAGATTTAAAGATCGATTTTAGGGTTTTAGTAGCAAAGGAGGTTGGTAAGGAGGCTAACCATTAAGAGTTAAGACCTTTAAATAGGGTGCAACACCCTAAAAATTAGGGTTTCCCCAGCAGCCCCTAACACGCCGTGTTAAGATACAAACACGTCGTGTTGGTCCAATAAAATCCGCTGCCTATCACCCTACCGACACGCCGTGGTGAGGCTTCACCATGCCATGTTCAAAAGGAATTACGAAAACATTTGGAAATAATTTCATACCTAGAATCGAGTGTTACAAGAATGATGCAGTCTCCGAAATGGACGAAATTCGCATAGTGTACGTAGATGCTAAAACTATACATCCCTTCGTGATCATCTGCGATATTATTTTGTCTACTCGGGACTTTTAGGGGGTCAAAATGACATTTTTTGGCTTTAGGGTGGCTTGCAAACTTTTCGAGTAGAATGATGCAGTCTCCAAATTGGACGAAATTCGCACAGTGTATGTAGATGCTAAAACCAGACATTGCTTTGTGATCACCTGCGATATTATTTTGGCCATTCGGGACTTTTTAGGGGGTCAAAATGACATTTTTTGGTTTTGGGGTGGCGCGCGAACTTTTCAAGTAGAATGATGTAGTCTCCGAATTGAACGAAATTTGCACATATATGTAGATGCTAAAACTATACATTACTTTGTGACCACCTGCAATGTTATTTCGAAAATTTGGGACTTTTTAGGGGGTGAAAATGACACTTTTCAATTTTGGAGTGGAGCGCGAATTTTATGAGTAGAATGATACAGTCTCCGAATTAGACAAAAATTGCACAGTTTATGTAGATGTTAGAACTATACATCACTTTGTGGTGAAGCACAAATTTTAACTAAAGTAACATAGTACAAAACACATCCAAAAAACTTGTTTGTAATCCGAAAACTAAAAACTGGACCATTTAATATTGTTCATCATATTTAGGACTTAAGACTAAGATTTACATTATTTTTTATGAAATTTTAACAAGAAATGTGGACATTAAAAGTTGACAGCTAACCTGATACAATGTAATCTTCTCCGACTCCGAATTGGTATGAATCGGATTTTGTCCCGTCGAAATCTTTGATAGAATCTGAACTGGTATACCGATTGCAATGGACCACATTTCAAATTTTTGGTTAACATGAGAGACCAAATATTTAGCCGCACTGGGGTTTTTGCCAAGAAAGAGGCACCTGTGAACTTTGTGACTGACCCATTGGAATGTAGATCAACACTTAGACCAACTGGTGTTTTAGTATTTGGATGGATTGGAGGAAAACATGTATGCATGGATCTAACTGGGGTTTCCCCTCTTGTGGGCTTGGTAGTGGAGTTTTCACTGTGGGGCAAACTACTTTAAAAACTGCATCAAGCAAAGTGGCAAAACATGAGAAAGCGTGCATGGAAAATCAACACACGTTTATATCCTTTACATTTGATACTTTCGGTTTCCTTGCGTCAGAAGTTGTGAAGTTACTCAATAGAGTCCAACGGGTCATGTATAATAATGTTATGACTCCAAGATCCATAGATGTTGTTTTTAAAATAAGAGTAAATTACTGAAATCGTCTCTATGGTTTGATCAAAATTTCATGTTTGGTCCTAACTTTTTTTTTTGCACTTAGATCATCCCAGTGGTTTGATTTTGTTACGTTTTTCGTCTCTTACATACATCAAATTAGGGATCAAACGTGTAATTTTGACCAAACCATAGGGATAAAAATCGCAACAAAATCAAACCATAGGGACGATCCGAGTGCAAAAAAAAAGTTAGGGACCAAACGTGAAATTTTGACCAAACTATAAGAAACCATAAGGACGGTTTTAGTAATTTATTCTTAAAAAAATTAGTTTTGTTATAAAAAAAATGGTTGCGATACAGTTTGTTGTTCATTTAGCCGCTATTTTTATGTAAATATTTGTTATGAATTTGTTTATATGAAAGTTGATTTAACCAAATAAACGAACTGGTATATCGAACTTCTGTATGTAAAATAATCCATTTGGAAAGAGTTGGCAAAATCCATAAATTGAGGAAAACTTGATCATTGATAATTCACAAAATCATGTGTCCCAAGAAAATAATATACAAAATATTAAATAAAGAATATTGGGACCCACATAAAATGGCCGTTGCCCGTTGGCTGCAAACTCGATTCAAAAATCCATAAATCGAGAAGAAAAAAGCAGCTCAAATCCCTCAACACAGATTCAAGAAAAAAGCCACCAACTGATTCACACAAAAATTAGCACACTAGTTCTAAAGATCTTTGAATCAGATGTGAAGTGGAGAAGAAGGAACAAGTTTCCAATGTCGTCGTGTTCTGTGGAGAATCAAAACCCTAACCATTCTTCCCCGTTAAATTGGTCCAACCTTTGGTTGAAGAACAAGAAAGCTCTTGATCATGTCTCTTCAACTATCCGCCGTCGTTCGTTCTACAGAAAACCCCCACCCCCACCCACTCCTCAATCACCACCACCGCCACAGCAACCACCACCACCGCCACAGCAACTACCATCGGAAGTGACCGTTGTTCCTCTTTCTCCCCATTTTCAACAAACCCATAACAACGAAACCCTACTTCCTGATTCCCCCGAAGTAGTCCCCTCTCATGATTTCATTTCCCTCCTTTCCGATGAAACACTCCTGCAAATTCTCTCCAAACTTCCTGACAGATCTCAAAGGAATTCGAATTCTTTGGTCTCCAAATCGTGGTTCAATCTCCAAGGTCGTTTGGTAAGGTCAGTTAGGGTTTTCGATTGGAGTTTCCTTACATCTGGTCGTATGTTCACGAGATTCCCTAACCTCATTGACATTGATTTACTTCACGGAAGCGTAATTTCTAGCAGCCATTTAAAAAGCTGTGGTCTCTCTTTAGGCCGTGAATTTGGCCCCTTCTGCATCGATTCCGATGTCTTTTCACCAAACAACCATACTTTCCGACCTGTTAACGAAGTAGATTCTGTGTTGAAATCTTTAGCTACCGCATACCCCAATCTTCAACGACTTGTACTCCTAAATTCTTCCGAGGTTGGGTTACTAAGTCTTGCAGAAGGGTGTCCGAATTTACAAGAAATGGTTTTGCATCACTGCCATGATCAGATTCTGCATGGGATTGCGGGATTTACAAATCTGCAGATACTGAAGTTGATTGGAACCATTGACGGATTCTATTCCTCTTTGGTTTCAGACATAGGGTTAACAATTCTTGCTCAAGGGTGTAGAAGGTTAGTGAAACTTGAACTCAGAGGATGCGAGGGGAGTTATGATGGAATCAGAGCAATCGGACAATGTTGTCAAATGCTAGAAGAACTCACCTTCTGTGATCATCGAATGGATAATGGGTGGTTATCAGCTCTTTCCTACTGTGAAAATTTGAAAACTTTAAGGTTAGTTTCATGTAAAACCATCGATCAAAGCCCTGGACTTGATGAACACTTGGGAGCTTGTAGATTGCTTGAAAGATTACAATTGGAAAGGTGCAGATTGTGTGAAAAGCAAAGTCTGAGAGCACTTTTTCTTGTGTGTCGATCTGTTAGAGAAATGGTTGTAAAAGATTGCTGGGGTTTGACAGATGGCATTTTTCTCAATGCCAATTTATGCAGGTAGTTTCTTGTTTTCTTGATTTCTTAATTTTCACTACTTATCTTCTCATAAAAAAACAACTTTTTTTTTGTGTTATTTGATGTTGATACAAATTATGATTGTGTGTTGATAGGAGGGTTAAATTTCTGTGGATAGAAGGATGCTCAAGGGTAACAACAGAAGGTTTAGAATCTGTTGTCCTTTCTTTGAAGGAGCTTGAAAGCTTGAAGGTGATATCGTGTAAAAACATGAAAGATGATGAAGTGAGTCCTGTGCTTTCTATGTTGTTTTATAGTCTTAAAGACTTGAAATGGATGCCTGATAACGGATCGGTTCTCTCAACGAGTCTTGTGGGGTCCGGAATGGGTAAACGAGGGGGTAAGTTCTTTAAAAAGTTGCAAATTTGAACATGTGATTTAAGACTTTTGTTGATTGTAAAGATTATGTTGTAGCACTTGCACTTGTTGTGTATTAATGTGTATTAATTACTAACTTGATAGAATTCTTGTTGTATGAAAGAATGTCAATGCTTTATGCAATTACTACCTTTTTGGTTTTCTTTTGTTTCTGTATTAGGTTATGTCTGACTAAAGTGACTAAATGGATGATGACTCTTGTATATATAAAGTATAATAAACTATCTGGATGATAAATGAAAATATGTTTCTTTCCTCGTGTTTCCTTCCTTAAAAAAAACCGGAGAAGATGGTGTTAAGAAGGTTCCTTTGATGGTAGGGGTATTTTTGTAAATGGTGATGGATGGATGAGTAAAGCTTTCATTTCTAACTTAACAGTTAACACACAAAGTAAAGTCATGTATCTATAATATTAGTAATATTTAGAGATTGACAATTTCAACTCATTCAATGGATAAAATTAGTGGTTTTTAAATATATAAAAAACATATCAAACAGGTGGGAAATGGCTTAACGTGTTTTCAAATGTTTCTAACTACGAATCATCTTATTTAAAGAAAATAAAGTATTATTAAAAAAATATATTATTTTTAATATGATTCATGTGTTATAAAGACAAAAAAATACATAAAACATGTTAATCAAAACTTGTTATAATCCATCCATATTTTAATTGTTATTTATTATTGTATGTAAAGGTGACAATGATATATTAACCATTCTGGTCAAAATGTAACTCAAAATACATATGTAACGCAAAATACATAGGATTGTTTTTGGAAAAACTAGCTTGTAGCTGGAAGTAGCTTTTATTTATTTATATAGAAATATTTGATAAAAATAGTTGTTATCTTTTAAATATATAAAATTATTTACAAACAAAAACGTTCCAAAAACTACTCGAGGTAATTTTGAATTCGAAGGTTATTGTATAAAATAAAAAATAATATCTCCAACCGCCAAATATATTTTTTTTCGAGTTTTTCATTAAAAACTAAAAAAAAAATCAAGTTTTTAAAAACTCCTTTCCAAATACGTAAGAATAAAAAAGTCTTTTCTTCAAAAAACTGGGGAAAGAACAAATGCGTATACCATTTGTAGAGTGTCACAATCATCGAATTGAAGGGAGAGCTTCGCTTTTTGTGCAAATCTCATTCCTTTGTCATCATCTTCTTGATGATCGATAAGAGGTATATGCAATTCACGCTCCTCTGATCGCTAATTTTCAGTGTTCGCCGTTTGATTCTCTGCAGCTGCACGGATATAGAGGGACGATGAAGAAGGATAAATCAGTAGTAACAGAGAACCCTAGCGGAAGTGGTGTAGCGAAAGCATCTTCATCGAATAGGCTGTTTGTACGAGAAGAAGAAGACTCAGAGAGAAAACAAACTACTTACGACTTCCCCTTGCCAATTGTTACTCGTAATGGTTCCTCCAAATACGATTTCGTCAAGGTTTGATTCGTTCACGTTGATCCGATTTCTGCGTCCTGATAAGATACGTTTTGAGTTGCAATTTCGGACCTTGCAATTTTCAAATGAAAACTGATACGAATGTTCTTGCAAATTTGTACCCAAACTGATCAGTACTTGTTATAAATTAGAAGGTGGCTGGATACGAAACTACTCCATTTCTTAATCTTTCCAGTAAAAACAACGAAATAGGTGTTTGGAATGAAAACAGTCCCAAATGAAATCAACTTGAAATTCAAAGAGTAAACAATATCTGATATCTCACAGTTTGAGTTAAAATGTAGCATTTTCGAATGAAGAAGTACTATATCAACGTCCTGGGTTATGCACATGATTTTATTATTGGCTGAGTTTTGTTTCATTGATTTCAGGTGAAAGTATGGTTGGGTGATAATGCTGATCACTACTATGTCCTCTCAAGATTTTTGCTTAGCAGAATGTTGACTGTTACTAAGGTTCGGCCTTCAACCCATGGTTTCTTACAAGGTTCAATCCACATGTCTAATCGGAAAATTGTTCACCATTTCATCTTGATTAATGATAATCAAGAATGATAGGTCCAATAGAAAAAGCTAAAATAAACTTTCAGTGTCCTAGAAATAGAGAAAAGAAGAATTACCTGTGGATGAAAAAAAGCATGCACCTACCACCAGTGTTTATACTTATGTTATATTTTAAGATAACCTTAAATTCAAGATTATCATGCTTTATTTTCAGATTCCTAATCATACTGCTCTCAAAATTGCACTTGAACTCAAGAAGTTGCTGGTAGACAATAGCCTTCTTGATGTGTATGTCATCATATTCCATCTTTTGATTGCTATCTTTTGTTGCTTCAAATATCTCATTTTAGTTGTTCTGCAGCTCTCAATCTGATCTGGAAACTAATTTGTTTAAGGTAATATATCTGCAAGATCCATGTTTTTCCTATATTATGCTACTTTATCCATTGACTGAATTACAAAGTTCTGATTGACCTAAAACTTCTGCATGAAACTTCATTGCTTATCTCTATTTCCAGCTCATGAAATGGCATGGCTATGGGCAAGAGTATATAAGCCATTACAGGATGATGACAAGGTAAAATGAAAGAGTATGAAATAAATAGACTTGGTGAGTGTTTATAATTAGTTGATTTTAATCTAACATTCTTTCATAATTTACATCCTCCGTAGATTTCACCATCAAAGGGTACCACTGGTCATTCTTGTAAGTGGAACAGCATGTGTTGGAAAGTCTACAATTGCTACCCAACTTGCACAAAGGTTAAACTTGCCAAATGTATTACAGGTGAACCCTTTTACATAATGTTTTCTTTGACAAACTTATGTGCATAAAAGATCCATAAACTCCAATAGGATTGACATTCATTATTCATGAATCTTTGATATATGATGACAGACTGATATGGTGTATGAATTGCTAAGGACTTCAACAGAGTAAGTAAACTATCCATACTTTCTTTTTCCTCCCATAATCTGTATGATACATATAACTTATGGTCTTTTTATTACTTATTAACTCAGTGCACCATTGGCATCTTCACCTTTATTGGCACGCGACTTTAGCTCCTCTGATGAGTTAATAACTGAGTTTTGCAGAGAATGTAGAATAGTCCGAAAAGGTATATTTATAAATACAGATAATAATGGAAACATGTCCATAAGTTGTATATGTTCATGTTTTGAGTTTTGACATAGGTTTGGCTGGTGATTTAAAGAAAGCAATGAAAGATGGAAAGCCAATCATTATTGAGGTATTTCATATCAACACAAAGATTCACCTTTTTGAGTTATGAAACAGAAAATAAAATGTTTATGGTTGTAGGGAATGCATGTGGATCCAAGCATATACCTAATCAATGATGGAAATACCAACAAGAATGCTGAAAAGATGAATAAGGGTCCTGAAATTATTCCTGAGAATATTACAAGTTAGCTCTTAATTCGACCTCCTGCATTATTTTTATAGTTTTTTTTTTTTTTTTTTTTTTTAATTCTAATTGGTTGTTTGGCTATTCAGGTAACAGTGTAAAAGATCAAGCAGTGGACAGAAAGGCTATTCATAAGAGAGAAAAATCTGGAGCCCCAGAGCCAGTTGTAATTCCTATTGTCCTAAAGATGGCTGAGTTTGATCATAAGGTGAAAACATTTTAACTTTTAATTCCATCCACAACATTATGAAATGTACATTTGATAGATACATCACTTTTTTTAAATATTCTTTTTTGTTTTTATTCTTGACTTCCTATCATCTACAGGCATTACTAGAAGAGTGGATATCTACACGTAAATTCAGCAGATATCCAATCAAGGTAGAATGTTTCTTTTTCTTTTAACTTATTTGTAATTATATAAGGATGCGTCTTTTAACTTATTTGTGAACATTTTCAGGATAAAGACAAACTGATTAGCAACCTAAATACCATTCAAGATTATCTGTGCTCTTTCACATCACAAGTACACTAGTTTTTCTCTTAACCTAACGACATCTTTTTTTGGTCAACTTTTCATATTTTTATTATTCATGTTAACAGGGCTCAGAAGTAGCCAACATATCCGCAACAACTTTCCCCCAAACACTGGACTGGCTCCATAATCATCTTCTTCAGGTAAACATCAGTTTCCATTCATGTTTCTTATCAATTAGTTCTTAAATATTTTGTCATGTTATTTATGTTTATCCAGCGTATTGAACAAGGTATATCCTCTGCCTCTAAAGAAAATGTTGGTCAACATGATGAAACGTAGATTGGGCATTTCACACGGTTGACTTTTCATCTCCATAGTTAATGTTACAATAAAGACTCGAACTTTGTCTGATTTACAATGATACAAAAATGGTGACACGTGTACATTCATATAGCAAATATATGGTTCTTAAAAGTGCCACTTGGGTCTGGTTTCTTCTTCTTTTTCTGTCAAATCTCTGTACTGATACCATTCTCCTCCCACCTTACCAACCGGAAGTGGGGCCCGGACAAAAATCTCAACAGGTTTAGGAACATGAACATCTAATGATATCTCCATATCCTTTTCTTCCACTAAATTTGACCCCACTTCTTTGACCATTTGACCAAGACCAACTGGTTCAACTGTTATCCACCCAAGACCCGAGATTGCCACATCACAAGCAGGTCTATAAAATGATAGTCTTTTAATGCCTTAAAAATATAAAACTCAATAGATGTTACAAAAATATAAAATTCAATGATGTTTAAATACATACCTTTGTGTGTCATCGAATCTTATTTGTAATTGGCGAATAGTCTCGAGTCCTGTCCAAGTTGCTACTTGTTCTCCACTTGGTGGTGTTAAAGCAACTCCTACTTCTTTCTACACATGTTATACAAGATTCTTCAATTTTTAACATAATGTTTAGCACAATACATATGTTTAGTCAAACTATACCTTGTAGAATTGTTCTGCTTTATTTGTGGGTAGAATTTGAAGCTTTAGGGCTTTGGGTCCATAAAATGTTAAACATGTTTCCGGAAGGACCTGAAGAATAGAAATAAAACATTAAAAAAATGTAAAATGAAGAATAAATAAAACATTAGAAGGTTAAAATACCTTCAAAATATCGATTCGAACGAGGCCTCCCCAAAATATGGAAAAACCAGTTAAGTCGTTAAACTCCATTTTCTCACTTACCCATTGATCCAAGACTACCTGTTTCTGTTAAATCCAAGAAATAGCAACATACTTTCACTTTCACTGTTATATAGTTTCAAAACAGAAGTAAATGAAAGTACATTGCTATTAAAAGAAAGGAAAACATAACATACTGTAAATGATTGACCTCTGAGTCGACTCCTGGGAGCAAGAGCAGGTAGATCTTGTGAATGAATCACAGCAGCTTGCCTATGATGGAGATGAACTCCAGGTGTGTCATATAATTTCTGAATGAATGAATTATCCAACAATTTAAACTTTTACAAAAATGGCCCTTCTTCATTTATGATTTATTATAATTCAGTAAAAGTTGAAACAAAATGACATGCATACCCCTCCTCCAAGGAAAGCGTTAATTGGAATTGGACCAACTGTGGTTCCAGGAACAGCAGATTGTATTGGTTTATATTTTCTTGCCATTGCAGCAACCGGATCTTTATTTGAAAGCATCTCTGTGTATGTTAAATTGGTCATTAACATAAATATATCTGCAACATTCGCTTGCTTTATAATTTTTTTTTTTTTTTTTTTTATCATACTCCAAAAATTAACTTACTCAATAATGCATTGATAAATGCAGATTTCCCCACATTAGCTGCTCCCTGAAGAAACACAGAAAATTGTCACTTTTTTTAGTAAAAAAAAAAAAAAATAGCATTTTGTTTTGGCAGTTTAAGAAGTTAATTTTGTGGGTCCCTTGTACTGAATAACTAACCAGAATGTACACATCCCGCCCCTGCAAAAATAAAAAAGTGTATTATGTATCTTTTTTCAACATCATTTATCCAAACAACACTTGATTAAAAAAAAAAAAAAAAAAAAGAGGAAAGGGGATCTTACCTTCTTTTCCTTCTGAATTTCAGAGATAACTCCAGCAAGTCCAACCAATGACTTTGAACTTGTCATGTGGACACTTAAAACACTAAAAAAAAACAATATATGGGTGTTTCTTTTTCAATTAATGTAGAAGGATTGACTTAATAGAGAAAATTCAGAATGAAAACAGGGCCTTACTTAAGCTTCTTTTTCATGGTGGCTTCCACAACCCAATCACCAACACAATTAAAATCTGTCCCTTTTGGAAGAAGATCAACCTTCATCAACATTTAATACAAAAAATCAGCAACGAGAATAAACCAAAAAATGGAGAAAAGCGAAAGAATATTCACCTTAGTCACAACTAATATAATTGGATTTGCTCCAGCAAGATCACGTACATGAGCCAAAAAGCTGCCATTGAAATCCACTATATCAACCTAAAAAGTAATCAACCATACATACAACAATTCACCATTAAAGCTATTTACAGATTATGATTCTACAATTGAAATCCTCACCAGTTTTACAATCAAAGCCTTTTCATGGCGTAAATGGCGTAACTTTTCTCTAAGCTCCTCCGCAGTAACAAACTGTTTTCCACCGGCGTAACCTCCATTTCCGCCCACCGCGGTGACCATATGCCCATGAGATAACAGGCGGCACCTCCCACAAAGAACTGTTCTAAGCTGACGATGTTTCTTCTTCTGCAATTACACTAAAAATAATCAGTTATATGAAACAAACAATTGTCCGAACACAAGTACCCAAATTTCAATTCTTATACCAGTTCATATGTTTCCGGGTCAACATAACCCGGGGCATCCAATTCTGAAATCTGCAACGGGGCTCCACACCCGTAACAGCTGTAAGTTGATGTCGAAGTAGGTTTCAAGGAACCATTGATTTTCTCTTTCTTCTTCTTCTTCTTCTTTTTCTCAAGAACGAGAGCTGAAGCTGCTAAGTATTGTTGTCGTTCAAGGAAGATATCGCCTCGGGTCGGGGCGGCAGCTCCGGTTCCTTGTGATTCAGGTGCAGAGACTGATAATTGGGTTTGAGATGGTGGTGGATTTTGTTGTTGGGACTGTGAATTAATGGGTTTGCAAATGATTATGGTTCGACTCGAATTGCAGAATTTCAGGGTTTTGAAATGGTGAGGAAGGAGGGATGTGGAGAAGGAGGTGAGGGAGAGGGTTTTAGGAATCATTATCGGAATCAGAAATGTTGGAGTGGGTTTTTTCGAGCTAAAAACGTTTTTGAGAATCTTGTTGGCTTTTATGGCCCCTTTACTTTTATTTATTTACGTTTTTGCCCCTTAACTTTAGTCCTATCAATAGTGTTGCTCGAATATTAATCTATTTGGCTTGTTATTTCTCAAATGGAAAAATACATTGTTATGAAAAAATTATTTAATTAAATAAAAAAACTCCATGTGTATAGCTTATAATTTTACAAGCAAAATGAAAAGATTCATGGTGAAAGAGTTTCCACGATAGCTTGTTTGACTTTGACAAGCTTATTGATCCAAAAAAAAAAAAAAAACTCTCAATAAGCTTTTATTATGGATATTTTTAGTATTTTGAAGTTTATAAGATATATTGAAAAATAACAACGCACTTAAAAATGATTGAGAGAAAAATTAAATAAGGGCATATATGTAAAAACTATAAGGTTGAAAAAAATAAAAATGGGAAATGTTCTTTTCATTTACATTTTATATTGAGTGTTGTGTTGTAAAGAAACTATGTTATGCAATCAAAACATCCTAAGTATTTATTAACGGTGTCACACCGTAATAAGTTAATAAATTATTAGTTGTATTTAGATTGTGTTTGACTCGTTACTTGAAAAAAATAGATTTTAATTGAAAATCTACTTCTCGAAAATCTACTTCTAACTTCTCGTTTGATAATACTATGAGGTACCGTATGAAGATGGGGAAATATGGGGAAAATGAGTTAGGAAGTTAATTACCTATTATCCGTGTTCATATATTAGCAACTTCTTCTTTTTTGTATATAATAAAGCAACTAACTTATTTTAACTGTTTAAATTACACCAATATTATCGGCTAATATCTGTTTTAACCGGTAACTCAAATGAAAAATGACTTAGGAGGGTAACTACCTCTTATCCGTGTTCACATATTGACAACTTCTTATTTTTTGTACATAAGAAAGCAACTAACTTGTTTTAACTGTGTAACATCCCAAAAATCATGACAAAAAAATTTCTTTTTAATTTAATACTAAAACCATAATTGTCAAACCATTAATTTAATACTCCGGCATTGGGCCCCGCCTGGCATCGAGCCCCGCTCGGTATACAAATATGTCTCTCTTAGGCCCCGTCTGTCTCCGGGGCCCGCCCGTTAAACACATACAATCCTATAACATGCTAACACATAAAGAAACATACTCTACTGTATCCCTGTCCTAAGAAACATACCCTGATAATAATGAGATACAGAACATCGTTTGTACTCAGCTAGTGATGAGATACGGGAGCTTGCCCACACTCACCTCTTTACCAGGCATATACAAGTATCACACATACAACAAGTATAATCTAACATGAAAACATTCCTCAGGCACCCGCCCGACATCAGACCTTGGTCTGGAATAACATACTAGCAAACAATGCTTATGGCTAACCCCCGAGTCTTCCTACTCATAGACTACATGGGCTGGCATTATGGCCTTAGACCCATTCACACAGTGAGGAGACTCACCTTGCACTGTTAAAGCCCTGGCTGGAACTAGCTGAGTACGGACGAAGTTCTGTATCTCATTATTAGCAGAGTATGTTTCTTAGGACAGAGATACAGTAGAGTATATTTCTTTATGTGTTAGCATGTTAGATGATTGTATGTGTTTAGCGGGTGGGGCCCGGAGACAGGCGGGGCCTAAGAGAGACAAATATGTATACCGAGCAGGGCTCGATGCCAGGCGGGGCCTGATGTCGGGAGAGGTCCGATGATGGAGTATTAAATTAATGGTTTGACAATTATGGTTTTAGTATTAAATTAAAAACGAAATTTTTGGTCATGATTTTTGGGATGTTACACAGTTAAAACAAATTAGTTTATTTCTTATGTACAAAAAATAAGAAGTTGCCAATATGTGAACACATATAAAAGGTAGTTACCCTCTGTAGTCATTTTCCCTTTGAGTTACCGGTTAAAATATGTATTAACCGGTAATATTGGTATAATTTAAACAGTTAAAACTAGTTAGTTGCTTTATTATATACAAAAAAGAAGAAGTTGCTAATATGTGAACACGGATAAGAGGTAGTTACCCTCCTAAGTAATTATCCCGGAAAATATGCAAAGAAGACAATCCCCTATGCAATGCCCCACACTTACACCTCCTTTGTGGGGGAATTGAATGGCAACCAACATCTATTTTCTCTCTTCTATTTATTTTTAATGCTATATTTTTAAAAGTTAGATCCAAATGAATTCAATATGAATCCACTGAAAAATAGTATTTTGGTACAAATTGATCATGTCCGGTTTGAAAAAAATGGTATGTTGATTTTCAGTAACATTAACTCTTAAGTTAATTAATTTTTAACGAAATGTTCTGATTTTAATGGTATTTGTTAAATGTTTTTATTCTGTAAACTAATATTGTTTTTATTTCTATTTAAACACCAAAAATAAAAAGGGGAGGGGAGGAAGGAGAGATCATTCCCTAGGTAAACAAATATGGTGAAATGTGTGTGTGTCTCAAATACTTTTTTATAAAACCAACTTATAAGCCATAATCATGAGTACCTCATTTGTAGAATTCACAGAACAGAGCATAAACCACAACAAACATAATAAGCTAATAAACACTTTAAATAAGCAAATTTCAAACACTCCCTTACTAGATAAAATCATGTCCACATTTAGCTCATTAATTAAAAAAACAAAACAACAATTTAGTCATTAAACCCCAACCAAAAACATAAGATGCTAGACATCAATCCAAGGGTAAAAACTAAAATGAAGTTCATACTCATAGTTTCATACTCCCTCCTCCTATCAAATAACAATTATAAAACCATAAAAATAACCATATTTAATTATGTATGTAGAAGCAAAACCAGCTTCATACTTATAATGCTCGATATCATAGAGGTTGCATCTCCAAATTGGTATGATGTTCATGTCCATTCACAGCTGATGATGATGATGATGACTCTTGATTATTATCACCACCCGAATTCATCTGCTGAACAGGAGGAGCATTAACAAGAGTCATTGGCATCACAAAGTTATCAGAAAGCCTTCCCTTCATCTCCCTATGTTCTTGACACAACGCACACCAATGCATACAACAATGCACCAAACACGGATCACATGGTGAATTCTGCAAATTCAAAGAAACTAAATACATTACATCATATAGCTTCAAATAACTAACTACATTACAACAAGGGCATTCATGTCTCTTTTTTACCTTAAGATGGTATTTCTTCTGCAACATTTGTCGAACAATCCCAGTGTAAATACCACACATCCACCAACTAAACAGCAGCCCTTCACAAATGAGAAATGATGTTCTTGGGTCAATAACTCCATGCAATGCTGCTGTTGTTGCAGCAAGTGCAAGACCTCCTTCAATGAAAATTGCATGAAGAACACATGGAGTTGTTGTAGAGCCATAGTCGTCTCTTAGGGTTTCATAATTGCGCCCAAATAGAACACATGGACAAAAAAGTCCTGTCCAGCCTGAACATATAGCAATGTAAAAGGGAAATCAGATGAGATTTATATATATGTTGTGTAGTGTGGTGTAGCAATTTGGTTTGAGAGAAAAGCTTACAGCTTTCTGGATCTTCTGCACAAGCAAATATACCAGTTGTCCATGGCTCAACAGCAGGAGGCTCAAAGCTCTCAGGTAATGGTTGTCCACATTCATTGCACTTGCGCACATTTAACTGTAAATTAAGTGAGATTAAAAGGATGTGAGGAATTTGTAGAAAGAAATATGTCATATCTTAAGAAAAGAAGTAAAGATTTATCCTGAATTAAGTTGATTTGGATAAGAAAGATCTAAATCACGTTGCCACACAAAAAAAAGCCCTAAATTTTGAGTTTTGTGAAGAGGTTTACTTTTGAAGTAGTATGAAAGTAAAATTTCAAGGATTAGAATGCATCCAGATCTCGAAACATGCTTCAGAATTTCTAAGAACTAACAGAACTTATACAAGTAATTGAAATTGGTTGATTGTATTCTTCCGAACAAAGGGTTTGTTAAGCTAACAAGTGAGTACGTTCATATCAAGCAATGTCCATAGCTCCATACCACGTAATCACACTCATCGTACTTAAAATCCGAAAAGCCCTAAAGTTAATTGATTAAACGTTGAACGTTATCCGGATCGGTCAACTAACTACAATTGGTACACAAAACATGCCGTGATCAAACCTGAGGAACTTCAATAGGCTGATTGAGCTCTCCCGGATTAACCTCGACAGGCGCTTGATCTTTGTTCAACTTTACATACCGCGATGGATTATCTCCATCCGCCATCTGATCTGAAACAACGAGTGATCAAATTATAGAAAAATGAAAAGACGAAATTCTAAAGTAATCAAGCGAGTTAAATACAAAGACATCGACCGGAGCTCCGGCGGGTTGTCCATACCCTTGACTGAATTCAGCAACTAGTCAAAGACAAAATCTGTGATATGAATGTAGATGATCTTCGGTCCGGAAGTAAACGGATATTGGAGGAAGATTTAACAAGGAAACAGGTCTCTGACTTCTACGGAATCCAAGCGAGTTGCAATCTACTGCTTGTAGAGCACCCCCATTTTAAAGCTAATTACAAATTGAGTCCCTGCACTATATTTCAATACGGGGTATTAGTTCATTTGAGTTTTTCTATTTTAATTTTTATCTAACAATGGACTTTTAAGTCTTTTACATCATGTTCTCTCGTTAAAATTATTTTAAGGGGATAAAACTGTAAAAATGGTCATTGTGGTTGTCAAAATTATGTGGGTTTTGTCCAAAAAAGTTTGGTGGTGGATCTGTAGTCCAATTTCAGATACTTTGTGCGATTTAGGTCTTTATAGTTAGCATTTTTGTGTAATTTTGGTCTATACCCAAATTAAAATGATTAATATGCCCTTAAATTATTTTTTCTATTTGTTTTAATTGAATTTTAATTCCTTTAATTAAAAACAAAAAATATATATCACCCCAC